AAAAAAAAAAAAAATATGATAAAGGCACAGATAATGCTCATATATCAACACGCACTCAACGCACACTAAAACAGTAAACGGTAAACAATAAAATCAGTTATGTTTTCTTAAGAAAGCATAAACTTTCTGAACGATTAACGTAAATTTGATAAGTAATCTATTTCTGGGAAGGAAAAAAAAGAATAGAACTGTTCGAAAAAAATATTCACATTTTGGCGTACAAAGTGAAAGAGACCAGTAGTAAAAATGGAAACAAAAAGAGTAGTTTCTTCTACAACACTCTATTCTTTTCTTCCAATAGCTCTATTACATTTTAAAATTAGCTAATGTTTTTTTTTTCAATTTTTACATTTGTCTGCAGCAAAACTTATAACAGATGCGTGCGGGTACAGAAGGAAGCAGAGACCATGGATTCACTTTTTTCCTTGTTTTTCACTGCTGTTACTGTGACGTTTTGAAAGAGTATGACAAAAAATTTGGGCAAATTGCCAATTTTGTAAAAAGATCTTTTTGATTTTTTAAAGGATAAAACATAGTGAACGGGCAACAACAGATTTGTTCAGAAATAACCCATAACAAACAAACTCAAACAAACTGTAATTTTTTATGGAAATTAAAATATACTACCAGAAAAAAAAACCTACCAGACTTAGAATTTGCAAAACAGTTGAGCAGTTGATTGCACGAAGCACCGTATCGGTTGGCTACGATTTTTGTCCGGCAATATATTCTTTTTGAGTACCTAAACAACACGGTTTCAGTGGGATAAAGTCTGACTTGTGGAAACATAGGATTGACTATACATAGGCAATCATTATTTTGGACTAACTACTTTATTCATTGTTTTATAAAGCTTTTCTGTGCCTTTTTTCCGCTTTTCTCATGACCATATTTATAACAGTTAATTAATAGTTTCTTCATTAAATAGCAAAGAAAAAAAAATCTAATGGTGATTAAAATTTACTTTTTTCCCCACAACGTTTCTTTAATATAAATATCACAACGGCAATGAGGATGCATCCAATAATTGCAGCTGTCATAACAATTATCCATGTTGTACGAGTGATTGCTGGTTGAACATCTTTTTTCGGTAATCTACAACACAGAACTACTGTTTTCAGTGATCCAACACTTAGTTACCAGTCGATTAGTTGCATAGTTAGTTGGTCAGTGGCTTAGTTGACTAGTTGCTTTGTTGGTCACTTTTTTTCAATTGATTAATTCGTATAGTGCAGATCAAAATTTAGTTTCATAATGCTCATTTAATGGCCAAGAGAAAACCAAACCAAATACAGTGTTTTTGAAAGATTTTTTGAAAAGAAAT